TATATATACATAGGACCTATATATATATATATATATATTTTCGAGTATAGGACAAAAGCCACGTGTGTACTTGAAAATGTTAAAATTGTATATCAGGCGTTGAAACAACAATTATAAAATAATTATAGACGTCAACTCAATAGTTGACTTCATAAGCAGAAACAATCCATAATGGAATTCAAAAAAGTAAGTTAGACAAGCAGAATATCGATAGGCGTATTTATTTATAGACTATGTATACATACATAAGTGTTATCTCACAGGACGATAAGCACCAATGCTCGTGCGCTTTGGTCCTTCGCCCCACTCCTTAGATATTTTTCCCGCATTTAAACAGCTCAAACGTATTATGTAAACTGCTTCTGAGACATTTGCTCAATCCGAGGACGCCATTAAATAATTAGTTCTGATTGGTCAGTTGTTAAGTTTGATTGGAACAAGGTAATTCAACAGAAGGACGCACATCTCCACTCTCGAATATAGCGCGTGCGTACAGTCCTTTGATCTTTACTGTGGCATCGAAAATCCCATACTTGTTGCGAGTACAGCCGTCAATTATTAGTCTCTGCGTGTCCTTCGTTTTATGGTGTTAGTTTTTATTTTATTAATTTTGGACACTTCGCAATGTCTGTTACATCTGATTTTTTTTAACTACGAGCTTGTTAAATGCTTTTATAAACTGCAATTTTTGAAAACTGACCAAGAAAAAGAAAAGTTATAGCAATTTAAAATTTACGAATTTTATAAAATTTCATGTTCTTATGTAACATTAATCTGTCATTTTGATAATGTTGGCATAAGGTGCCGAAAACGAACATTTGAATATATACAGAACAAATATTTTCTGCGAAGTGAGTCTCATGAACGACAATACACCACAATTTTGGCAAAATTAATGTTGAAATGAAGAATATAATTTCAGTCTAATGTTAGTGCAAAATATCATTAGGCCTTTGTAATCACCGCACGACGCGCGATTATCATGGCAACTAACACGCGCGTGGGTAATTCGTCACGTACGTACGCTGATGGGTTATGGTCTGGTTGCTAAGGTTTTTGTGACGTTCAGCGTGTAGGGACGCACGTGCGCATAGAATGTCGATGCCAGAGTTAAAACCTTTGATGTGCCGAGATGTGCGTCCTTTCTTGCCTAAAAAGGATATATACAGATATATATATATATATATATATAGATTAAAAGGCAAAATACTGGAAAACAACAATGCTGTGGGAAACAATGGCTGGATCTCAGTAGAGATACAAAAATGATAAGCAACAGCTAAAAAGTGAACGTAAGTAAACAGCCAGAAATAGAACCAGAGCTTTCGGACAACACTTCCTTCCTCAGTGGCGAGTGAGTGAGGGTAGAAAAAGCTAGATGGTATAAAGTGAGAATTTCATGCAAGCATGATTGTAAACAATAGGCTGGGTGAGATTAGAATAAACAGCCTAAACAAGTAAACAGGAAGGCCAAAACTAAACTTTAGACGCAAGCCTCAATAAATAAGCCAAATGATTTATCCAGAATAAATTGAAATGCCATTGGTTTAATAGTGTACTGGGAGAACGTTCCTAATATTGAGTCCAAATGGTGTGGTTGTTTTAAGTAAAAGTTCCCAGTGATTCTCTTTATATTTGCGATTTTTGTCGCTCCAACTGGCATGATGGTCAATTGCAATCACTCTGAAATTTGAAATTGAATGACCAGCTAAATTGAAATGTTCGGCTACTGGTTGATCAAGCTTAGATGTTCTGATAGCTGATCTATGTTGTGTCATTCTCATACGGAGAGTGTTTTTTGTTTCTCCGACATATTGTTTAAAACCACAAATATTACAATATATGAGATAAATGACATTTTTGGTGAGGCAATTAATTGATTGCCTTATCCGAAATATGTGGTTTGTTTGGTTGCTCTTGAATGATTGTGTAGAATCAAGCAAGGAGCATGTTTTGCATGATGAACCACAAAGATGACTACCCAAATTACGGTTGTCGCAAGAGTTAGTTTGCCTCTTGAATTTAGATCGTACTAATATATCACGAAGGTTAGGTGGTCTGCGATAGGCTATGAACGGTGTATCCGGAAAAACAGACCTAAGACCTTCTGTGGTCTGTAGAATGGGCATATGTTTCTGAATTATAGCCCTTAGTGGTGGTAACCTAGGGTGATAGGTAGTGGCACTCTGGTAGATCTTTGACGTGGTTTGTACGTCAGTGTTTGAGCACGAGGTATGTCCTTTGCTTTTTTTTTTATAGCGTTTTCATTGGGTCCTCGATGATAATTTCTATTCCGGAGATGTCCGAATAGTTCTTCTGTTCGATTCTGAAAATCTAAATCCGAAGAACAAATGCGTCTCATGCGCAATGCTTGGCTGTACGGAATGTTTTTTGTACAGTGCGGGGGGTGACAGCTGCTAGGGAGCAGGTACATATGCTTATCCGTGGGGGGTTTACGGATCAGAGATCAGTTTTAAGTGCACCATTTTCCATGGTCACGGTGATGTCCAAAAAATCTACACTGCTTGTGGATTTGTTAGCAGTGAATTTGATTGTGGGATGAGCCAAATTAATGTTCAATAGGAACGTATCCAAACTATCTTCACCATGGGTCCAGATCATGAAGATATCATCAATGTAACGAAACCAAACATCTGGTTTATTGGGCTGTAGGGACAGGAAATTGGCCTCAAATTGTCCCATAAATAAACACAAAAAAAAATAAAAAAAAAAAAATAAATTTGTAACAAGAAATAAATCCAACTTAAGTCTTGACTCTTGGATCATAAAATTTTATCAAACAAATATTTTGAACGCGCCTGCGTTGCTCTTCAGTGCTGGACGACTACTGAATTAAAATAGGCCTATCAACTATCTAATATATACAAAATCGCATATCCATTACAAATCAATATTTGTTACATAATATAATTTTGTGTTCCAAGAGTTACATTGATTTATTCTTTGTTACAAATTTATTTTGATAATTTAATTTAAAAATTATAATGACAAAATCAACGATAATTATCAGACGTATAAAATCCATTCCTCTTTATCATAAATTTTACAATTAGGTTAGCTGATAAATTAAATTAGGATTTTTGTAATAAAAGTATGTAGGCTTACGCCTAAATTAAAAAAAAAAACAAAAAAACAAAAAAAAAAAAACTAAATTGCACCGTTGTATAGTGCATCGATATATAGGTCTCTCTATGTATTTGATCTATTTGTGAAATTTGGAATATATATTACATCTAATAAGATTAAATATCCGGTTTTTTTATTCTCTCGGCCAAGACTATCCTCCTTTCTAAATGTACATCATTTATTGTGATATTATTATCATGTTTATACGGTTGTGATTTTTTTCTATTAAGGAGATTTTACTAGCGTTAATATTTTTATATAGTACACATAGAATAAACTATGAAGACATTGAATATTATAAGTCTGTCGTGATGTCATCACTTGCATTTGCACGTAATTTTTGTTTTTGTTTTTTTCAGGAAATAATGGCTCCTTTGACCTCTATTTTTACAAAGTCCTCAGAACTTGACTATAATTGCATACTGTATTAGTATTTTGCTAAGTATGGTACGCTACAGAGTAGTTCAGCCATTCCAAGACATTAAATAAACAATAGGCTTAAGTATTAAGATTTTATAAAAAGGAGAACATTATAATATGATGTCATTATATGTATATTAAATATTTTTTTTTATATTTGTTTCCACAGATATTAATGAGTGCGCTTCCGGGCCGTGTCAGAATGGAGCACATTGTAATGACTTAGTCAATCAATACACATGCAGTTGTGTGCCTGGTTATGTTGGCACGCATTGTGAGACAGGTAAACTCAAATTTACATGGCTAACTTTGAGGTAAATTAAGGGTGGCTCCAGGAATTGCCCGCCGGGGTCTGATGCCTCCAATGGGTGGACGTGGTCAGGAATTAGTCAGAAGTGGTCTATGTGTCGAAGCCCCCAAAAACTATGACAATTTAAAGTTTTCAAAGGCTTATTTAATTGATCTTAGAGTCTAATATGTAAACAAATCATATAGATTTTTTTTTCTGCCCGACAAATTATGTGTTTTCCCTGACGGGTGACCAGTTTTCCCCGACGTCTGGCCCCAGTCCCCGTTGGCGCTAAACCTGACGTAAATGCTGTGGAGAATATTAATGGTAGTGACATGACCTCTGTGCATCCTAAAGTAAAATAGGATAAACAATATATATTAATAATAATTATTATGTCACCAAATAACTTCCTACTCCATAAAAACTAAGTTGTTGGCCGTTGGAGCTTATGGTTTTTCTTGCTGCTGGGTGACCGTAAAACCCTCCCCTCAGCAGCTGCTACTAAAACAAATACCATCTGAGTGTTGTCAGTTTAGTCGCCGACGACTCGTCCAGATGGAGTTCAGTTTCGTCCGAATGTCGTACCGTTACCCCGAATGAACACGTGAAATGGGAAAACAATATTTAAAGGAATTGAAAATAATAGGCCCACCAAGAGAATATGAAATATTTATATATATACTACTTAATATTATAAAAGAAGATACATGATATATATATATATGTATATGTATGTATATGTATATG